TGAAGGGGGGGGATGGAAGGTCTGGACAGCCTCCACTCCTTCAAAAACTCCTTCCTAGGCATATATATCAAAGGTCTGGGTGACCTCTCATGCATACACCATGATCTGGAAGGATCAATGGTTGCCAAACCAAATAAACTAAATGTTTTAATGTTGAGAACACAGTGCATTAAAAGGTATGCATGGAACTATGTAGATGGACATTTTTTTTCTGCAGAAGATCTCTCGTCTGAGTAGACAAGCCTTAAAACCAGGTTATAAAAAAGAAAACTGAAGATAAGTTATTAAACATAAATCTGCTGGATAGCAAAGGCTGCTGGCAGATTCCAAAAGAAAAGAGAGGGCGGTCATTTGCCTGTCCAAGGGGAAAAATAATTAAAATCAAAACTGGACATTTGATACCTCTATACTTCTTCAAAGGCTAATTTCCATAAATACTATGTAGTTAGAAGAAATTTAAGATAGGTTCTTAGGGTCAACAACTGTAAACTGGCACCACCTGAAAGTGCCTGTGTGGAAAATAGCATTAAGCACATTTTGAGATGGGATGCAGAATGCATGCAAAAGATAAACAGTGTACACAGTGCTGGACAGAGGATGCTGACCATAGCCCACAGCCTGACACACTGCTTTGGATATTACCTCTCAAATTTATTGGGTGGAAGTCTGAGCTGCTGTGAAAATCCCTTCTGAGTACATGCTGCCTAGAAAAGGAAGCTTCTAGCACTTGAGGTGCCGAACTGAAACGTGGCAATACTCAGTCCACTAGCACAGCTTTCCAGAGAGGAAGCCCTCACGTACCAGTGGCTTTCCAAACAATGGCTCACAGCTACGTTGGGCCTAGCTCCCTTACCAATCAAACCAATAAAGCCTGTATTAATTTAGTGTGGGAATTGCACAGCATCAAGGAAACAGTCTTAAAAAGTTACTCAGTCTCAAGATAGAAGATGCAGATGTTACAATCTTTATGGACATTCCCACAGACGTTTCCCAGCGCATCACTGAAGACAGGTTTCCTGACCAAGTCAGGAAGCACATCCAACAAAGCATTGCTTTAGGCTACTACCAAGCGTGGTAACAAACAAAACCTTTCGAGCAGCCAACCATTACAGTTTCAGCATATAGATTCTCATTGTTATGTCCTAGCAGTATACACGATACACACATTCTTTGACTTGGACGAGGACTGGTACTTGCTGCACCTGAATCACAAAGGAAACTAAACTGACTTAAGAGCAGGGCTGTCCAATGGGTGGCCTGTAGGCTGCATGCAACTCTCAGGCTCCCACCTGGCCACTGCTGCTGTTACTGCTCTGGCTGAGGCAGCTGCTGGGATCTTGGGGTTCCCACTCCCTCCTCTGGCCTCCACTGTTTGACCCAACCCAAGAGAGAGGGACGAAGTGGGGCAGCTCAGCACAGCCCACAGCGCTGAGTGGGGGCATTGCCCAGAGTGCCTGGGAAGCATAGTGCAGTGGGAGAGTCCACAGCCAGGCACCCAAAGGTGAGGTAGGATGCTGCATGCACTCCAGCAAGGGGGGCCAGCCCATGCGCTACAGGAGCATCCATGTACACAGTGAGAGGGAGGGGAAACACTTACACACATACAGCATGTAGCCTGGGGATCTGTGGACCCTACGGCTTGCAGATACCACTGGCGCAGCCCATGCAGCATTCTGAACTCCTGGCTGCTTAGCAGTTGTACAGCCCTGCTTCAGAGGATGCAAATCATTTTTTTCCTCTTGTACTTTTGGACAAATACATTTAATATCACAAGATTTCTCCATATTTTGTTACGCCTCCTGCTGTCCACTTTTCCCTCAAACACTGAATCCCCTCCATATATACACACGAACACCAGCTAAACCAGAACAGATATTAGCGTAGCTGGAATTAAGACCCTGAATGCCTACCTCAGCTCACAATCTGAGCTGCACCGAGACCATTCAACTGATGGGCTTTCACAATTCCACTGTGTATATTTTTTATTTTTTAACTAGTAAATGGTGGCAGAGACACTGCTATCAGTATTTAAAGGTGAACTAACTACAGGCATCAATCTACACAGACATCAAAGTGTTATAGCAAGGCATTAAAGGCAAGTCTATACCACTCACTGCAGCTGGCAGCAGTGTGCTAAAACATGCCATGTACACTACCTCCCATATCAAAAGTGGTCTAGTTGCATTAGTGCACCAACTGCCTCTACCTCCTGTGAGAAACTGATAGTTACCCCCTCTCCCACTCACCAGCAGCACAAAAATTGCCATACTACCCTCAGTTCAACAGGTAGTGCACACAGAACAGTCCAGACTTTCAGCATGGCACCACATAGCACAGGGGTGGGCAATTATTTCAGGTGGAGGGCCGCTTACTGAGTTTTGGCAAGCCATCAAGGACTGCATGACAAGCAGTCAGGGGCAGATAAACATTAATTTTCTAAAATTTTTTAGGGGTCCCATCGGCCAGACAGAATGGCCTGGCAGGCTGCATCTGGCCCACGGGCCGCATTTTGCCCACCCCTGCCATAGCAGGTAAGTGAGCAGTGTAGACATTAGGGCTGTGCAAAACAGCAGCACTCTGCTTCGACTTCCATTCTGACGGAACAGCGTTTCATTTCAAGTTCTGCTTCATTTCGAAAGCACTGTTCCGTTCCGTTTCACTGAAACAGTTTTGCTGTTTTGACATTTCACCCATAGGCTATAATGGGGAAGCATAAAAAAGCCTATACCTTTGTCATTTCTTGCCTGATTCCAATGAAACTTGCAGGGGTGGTAGCCTCTTCTGAGGGCATGAAGCCTGCCAAGTTTCAAGATTGGTGCAGAGGTTTCTAGGAAACTGAACCTCAGGCTGCTGACAAGCAGGAGCCGGGGAGCAGGAGCAGCGTCCTATGATCCGGCAGGCAGATCAGGGCCTGCACTCCCAGGAGGAGTCCGACAGAGCCCCCGCAGCCCTCCCGAGAGAGCAGGCAAGCCCCCAATCTGCCTGCCGGATCACAGGTCGCTGCTCCTGCCACTACGGACCCGGTGCTGGGGAACTCAGCCCAGCTGCGGGAAGCGCCTCCCACTGCCAGGCTCAGTTCACAGAGGCTCGCAGTGCTGGAGAACTCAGTGTGGTTGGGGGGGAAGCACCTCCTTCAGTCAAGTCACGTTCCCAGCAGCTCGTAGTGCTGGGGGAAGTCACCATTAAAACCAAACATGCTGGACAGACAACAGCAGAAAATTATGCTACCAGTTCACGTACTTTTACTACACCAACCTTTGTATCAGACTCTTTACGACAGTTTGGGAGACGATTTGGACTTGAAACCTAAACCATTTAAACATGACCATGTTTTCAGGAGACATTTGGGGAAAAAAATCAAGAAGTACTGCGGGTATTTGAGCTATGTTTTCAAATTGCTATGGCAATACATGCATGCACACAGACAAGACAATGCAGATAATGAATTTGGAGAATTCTAAGTGAAAGTAAAGCATCTAGATTGCTTTTTTGTTTTTCATAAGTGTGTGTGGGGAATTTTTAGTGCGAGTGATGGGGGTGGGGGAACCACCCTCAGACACACCTTCTGATCAAACTTAGTCTTGGATATTCAACCTCTGTCTCCATTTTAAAATTGTCATCCAAGAAAAGATCAAGTAGGAGTACGTTAAGGTGCAAAGCTGAATACTGACAAATTATACATCTATTAAAAAAGCAAGCCAAAAGTTATGGGAGTAAAGGAAACAAGTACAGGAAGTTACATCAGTGAGAACACACAAGCATAAATCATACCATAACTGGAAACACAAGGAATATCACAATTATACAAATTCATTAGTTCATAATAGAACTTTAGTCCTTTAGAAGTATAAAAGCAGGAACGGAAAGTCAAAAAAATTTTCTTGACGGCAGAGATTCATCTTTGTACAACACTTGCTAAAAAGAGATACCTATCCTGACTGGGGACTTCTATATGCTACTGTAAAGTTATAACCACTATCTGTTTTTGGGTAAAGTACATGAACCTCAAAACAGATTTAAAAACAATAAATTTTGCTCTAATCAACCATGATGGTTGGCACTCTGCAAAAGTGCTTCTCACGGCTTAATTTAAACGGTAAAAATATACTTACTGGTTTTTCAAGAACAACCGGATGATCAGGAAGAAAGTCTGGCTTCTTCTGTGAGTGGGAAACACTTGCGAGCTTTAAGAGGAAGTCCCTACTGTATTGAATTCTTTCTGTAAACATACATAGGTACACAAATAATTAGGTAATTAAGTTATCTGAACATCTGTTAATAATTCTGCATTTACTAATATGAATGTTTGACTTAGCTTTTATAAAAAGGCGCCAGAAGAATTGTCATTGTGACTAGTGTTTCAATCCCTCTTAAAATAAGAATTAGAAATACCCCAAGATAACCAGCTTTTCAAAGAACAATGCAGAGCTACAGATGTTTAATGGTTCAAATCTAAAATAAATGTGGCGTGTAGCAGCCCCAGATCTTGTATTGGGGTGAATTTGTAAGAGTGTTCACTAACAAAGTAAAAAGACCAATCCAGATTTGGCTAACTATCCATTACACGAGTAGAGAGAGGTAGTTAGCTATGTTAATCTGAAGTTAGGTAAAAAGCAGAGCAGTGTAGTACATGGCCAGACTCATTCATGGAGAGGCATGAGCTTTTGTAGGCTATAGCCTATTTTATCAGATGCTATGAATGGACTTGCAAAGAGCGTGGGTACTAAATACTGTAGAAAGAAATTAGTTCATTTAAAAGCAAAGGAAATGTGTAGGAAACCCACCACAAAGCTTTTATAACCCCTATGTCCCTCAATGGGTTAACTGCTTTGTTTATCCTTTTTGATCTCTAACTCACATTCACCTCTTTCATGCCCCCTCCTTTCTTCCCCCTTTTCCTATCATTTGTATAATGATACTCATAATTATGAAAAAACTGGCACTTAAATCACAGATCATTATTAAAGGATGTTAATAAATTTATCAAGTAGGGGATGGTAACATGAAACTTCACACAGCATCTCTAAGAGAGAAATCCAAGCAACTACAGACCTGCTAGTCTAATAGTATGCACGTGTTCAGAACACATTATAAATACAGACCTACTGAAATTACTGTTTCACAGAAATTGTGAAATTAGGCAATGCCTGAGAAACCCAGGGTGGGGGGGGTGGGGAAACCTTACTAAAAATAAAATGCTGCGCCCCCCCAGAGGGGAAATAGCATGAAAGGCACCTAAGATGGCTCTCACCTCTGCCCCTTGCCGCTGATTAGCCGAGGGTGGCAAGGGGTGGGGCCACATGATGGGCAGCCCTTGCAACCAGTCAGCAGCAAGGGTAACTGGGGACCCTTGGCCAGAAGCGTAGGGGGAGGGGGGCTGCCAGGATCAGCCCGTAAAAGTGGTGGCCAGCCCTGTAATCTCCTCACGAAATTGGCTGGCTCCCTCCTCGAGTTGGGTGAACCCCTAATTATGAATGGAATGAATAAAATCATGGAGGTAAATGGAAAAATGGATGGAATTGCAACACGGTCTACCAAAGGAAGATCATGCCAAATTAATTTGATATTTCTTAGAATATCATGTATTTTTTCTAAGAATATTCTTAGAATTTGATGTATTCTTAGAAAAAAATACATTTAGAATATTTAATCTAACCAGTAAGCATTTGGTACGGTGCCAAATAAGGATTATGGTAATTAAGCTGGAAATTACTGAATAATTACTGTAACGCGGGTAAGGAATACTGTGATGCAGGCAAAAGACTAGAAAGGTGATAAAAAAAATTACACACACACCACTTCCAGAGTCTTGCTATATAATATTATTACATTAAAATACCAAATTGTTGAAGTGAGACTTTCACATCATTCCTGATTTGGAAAGAAGCCATCACTTCATGAAGCAGAAGCCAGTATTTGAAACAAAAATATGTAATTCACAACTCCTTAGAATTAATATTTTCGCTCCATCTTACAAGTCAGTAATTCAAACACTGATCTGTGCTTACCTTTTTTAGATTCAACCTCACGCTGTTCTGCATGATTACTTTCAATCATTCCAGGAGACTCACACCACTGGGGAAAAAAAGTGAAAAGAAGAGATACAAATTATTCAAAGTTTTAGAAGCATTTCACATAAAATGCATTATATGAAGATCTGGTGTTCTCTCACAAAATGCAAGGATACACTATTCAAAGTAAAGCTGATATTGAAATTAATTATGGCAAAGTCAAGTTTACATCTACTGTTACATATTGTTCACTTGAGACTGCTCATAATTTTCCATGCTGTATAACAGCTAAAGGAAAAACTAGACAAGCAATTCATTTTCTAATTGAATTCAAGTAATGAGGTTTATGCAAACAGAAGAACAGGTTTGTACAAGTGGAACTGGGCCAGCATCTGCACCAGTGACTTTTTTAAACTATAGTCAGGAGTAGTGTAGATGTACCAGTGGTTACCACCAGCACAATCTGTAGCACATACCTAACTGAACAAGAGCCACAAGAAGGGTGAATTGCAGTTACAAACTTTGCAAACAGATAACCCTGAATGGCTTATTTTGACTCTCACAACCTTAGCGACTACTTCCTACACTGAGGCTGCTAACTGACATTCATTTAAGGCATGATGGGATCTGATTTAACAGGTGTGCTTCTGCTATGCATGTAGCATGGCAGAATGGGCAATTTTGGGATCAGGGATAAGACCCAAATCACGCCATACTTGCCAGCACTGGGGTAGACTGGGATTTTGATCCTGGTCTCTCCCTGCGCTGACAAGTTAAAGGCCAGGTGCCTGATAATCTGCTGACTGTCAGCTCAGCCAGGGGATAACACCAGGTTGACAAACAGCTGATTGTTAGCCCAGCAGGGACCACACTGGGGCTAGTTCCAGACCCTTGTGCAATCCCAGGCCCAGCCAATTAACCCAGCCCAACACACAGTTTATAGTCCCTCTGCTCCCTGTGCTGGTGTCCAATTTGAGCTGCAATAATTCAGAATGCATTATTCCTAAACCATCCCAGAGTTATCCAGTCTCTTCTTGGAAATCTTCAACTTCCTGGACAACTTGTAAGACCATCCGAAAGGACACAGTTAGGATGTTTTTCCTGTGATTTAATCTGTCACCTCTACTGCAATTTTAACCCACTGCTTCACAGCCTACTTCTGTAGCAGGGGAGAATGGTTCCTACTTCTCTTTATGGCAAATTTTTAAAGATTTGAAAACTGTTGTCATTACTCCCACTTTCCTTTACCTCTCTTTGAAAAATGAACGCCTACACAGATGGCATAATTAATGTGTCAACTGTACCATAAATTGCAAAATAACACATTTTAAACAAATTTATAGTGCAATAAAATGGCAAACCAGCCACAGAGATGTTCTACATACAACGAAGAACACCTTTATGGCTAGTTTGCATGGTACCTTAAATTAAACAAGTGGCATGAATCCCAGATCCAGGGCTGCCTTGGTCTGGATGCCAACATTCACCTGAAAACCAGGCCCTGAATATTTGCAGTCTTCTGTGCAGCCTGGGCACAGAGTTGGGAGGGGATCAAAGCAGGGAGAGGTGGAACTGCTGGTGGAGATGAGGGATTGACAGCTCACAGCAACAGTCAGGCTATAAGGATCCAGCATGCTACTCTAAAAGGTTGCCTAGGGCACAGAAATTATGACACTGGCCTAGCAAGAAGGGGCAAAAGCAAAAGCCACAAAAAACAGCATACATACATTTTACTGGAGCCGCTGGCACCCTTCTGGTTATGTGATAGTAAGCAAAGGAACAAACAGAACACTGCTAGCTCAAGATCAAAGGAGAACCAAAGTACCTCTCTACCTATCTTTCCAAGTCACATTTTTCCTCATCTGTCCTTCAGAATGGAAAGTAAATGCTACTTTCCAACAAATACAATAATGTGGTTCTGAATTCAGGAGGCACAGAAAAATATTTGCTTGACCACCATTTTGTTTGCATATGGGGAGAAATTTTAATCCAGATTTTGTGATGTTTGCTGCCTCAAATGCACTGAATACATTTCTACATGAAAAGGAATACAAGAACTCCTGCCACTGCTTATTAAGTGCAAAATATGGAAAAAGTGAGCAAGATAAATGAGCATTTGTTACCCATATGTAGTTGAGAATTAACAGAACAAGCTACTGGAGATAAACTTTATGAAGCTTAAAGAAAAGCCACATTTGAAAGTCACCATTACCTCTTACGGAGATGCATTTTTCAGGCCTTAGTGCACATGCACCAAGAAAATACAAAATTTCATTTCAACATTTCAAGTACTGCTCTTTACAATCAAATGAAAGAACAAGACTCACTGTGAAGAGCTTATGCTTACAACTGAATAATCTGATGGCACGTTTCATTGTCAATTTATGGTATTCTTTTATCAGTTCTTCATAGATTTAGCAATTTACAATTGTTTTTATTGTATTCGCTTAATTAGATGCTTACCCAACTACTGTCACTACGTAAGCATACTTGACTGTCACATGCAAATTCAGTTTCAAAGTTGAAATTAATAGTTGAAGCTGTTGGAACAAGAGTAATAGTAAGCAAAAAGTCAACTGTCCATTTAGAACACTATCTTAAAGACACTTGTGTGCAAATACCCCATAGCAAAGTCAAACAACAAAGAAAGATCCAAAGGCTTTGTTTCGTATTAGTTACCATACAGGTGCTTTACCTAGTTAAGCACCAGATAAACGGGTCCCATTTCTTTCAACATGTTTGCCATGTAATGCTTTTATTTGGTTGCTGTCCACAGTAACATTTCAGCATTTATCCCTAGCCAATGCAATAATTCTATTTATTATTTGCATTATCATAGCAACTAGTTGCCTAATCATAAATCAGGAATCAACTAGGTGTTGTAGACCAGTGGTTCCCAACCTTTTTTTTTCACCTCAGCCTGGCAGAAGTGAGACGGGGTGTGTGGAGCTGGATGCCTGCCTGCCTGCCTCCCTCCCGGGGTTCCTCTGCTGCCCAGCTTTAACCCCGATAGCTCAGCAGTGACCCCGGAAGCTGCTCACCCAAGTGGACAGACGAGGGTGCAAACAGGGGTTTCATGCTACAACCCAGCCGCCAACCTGCCGCAGCTTGGTACCGGACCGCGGTCCAGTGGTTGGGAACTTCTGTTGTAGACAACAGCAAAGAGATGGTATCTGCCACAGCTACTATGCAGTTATGCCTTCAATAAGTATGAAATTATAATGTCATATCTATTTCACTCAATTTTTTTTCCAGCAAAATGTTTTATTACTAAGATACAATTAACTCAGCTTACATAATGTATACAACAACCTCACATTCTTCAGTTATTTTTGCACAAAGGATGACAGTACTTGTACCTGGACATCATTTTTTCCTGCTTCATTTGGGAGACAGAGAGGGGAGAAAGGATTCAAACTCAGTTCTATTCCACTGCAGTACAGTGCACTTTGTAGAGCAGCTAAGATAAGGCAGGAAAAATACAACCCGCAGGCCAAATCCAGCCCACAAGCCTATTCTATCCAGCCAAAGGCCCTTCTAAAAAACAAGTATTATCGACCTGCAGCTGCCCCTCTGAAAGCCAGCAGGAAGCAAGTGTGCACCAATGGATCAGGTGGGCTCCAACTCTGTGGGCCTCTTGGCACTACCAGCTGGGAGCCCTATGTGGAAGCACTGAGTGCAATGCCATGGGACTGGACAGCTGGTGAGTGGAGAGGGGAGCTCCTGCCTGCAGGTGGGGGGTAAGTATGGGGTTTGTGGATGGGGTGGGCCCCCCCTGCCACAGCATGTAGCCCCTGATGCGGTTGGCAGCAGCAGGTGTCAGGCCCTTAGGGCTCTCCTGACCCACTGCAGGCAGAGCCCCCTAGCAGATCGTGGCTCCGTCTGAATCCCAGGAGCAGCACATGGCAGCCCAGAGCCCGCCCAGCCCGGCCTACTGGCATGTGCCTTCAATCCAAACCAGGCTGGCTCTATGCCAGCACATAGGGCTCCCAGTACCATTAGGTGAGAGCCACACACCATTGGGCCAGGCTGGCTCTGTGCTTCAGCACTCCAGCAGGAAGCCCCATGTGGAGGCACAGAGCCCATCTGGCCCAATGGCGCATGACTCCCGGTCTGCATGCCATCAGGCCACGCAGGCTCCATGCCTCTACATGCAGCTCGCCGCTGGAGTGTGGTAAACCCCACATGGAGGCATGGAGCCAACCCAGCCTGGCCTGATGGTATGCAGCTCCTACCTGTACTGCAGGAAGCCACGTGCTGGGATGGAACCAGCCCAACCAGTGGGCTCGCCTGGGCTGGCTCTATGCTGCCACATGCAGCTCCTGGGATTCAGCTGGAGTCACGCACCACCAGGGGCCTGCCTGCTGTGGGCCAGGAGCACCCTGAGGGCCTGCCACCTGCTGCTCCCACCAGCAACGAAGGCTGTGTGCAGGGGGCAGGCATCTGGCAGGAGGGCCCCAAACCTCACACCCCACCCACACTTCCACACACCCAACCCCCTACACACACTCCCAGCCCCCCGCCTCCCACAAACCCCACACATTCCTTCACAGCCCCCACAAAAACTCCACATACCCTGACAAACCTGCCCCCCCACACAATATACAAGAGTAAGACTTTATTTTGAGCTATTATGCAATCACTTCTATATACACTACACAAATGCACAGAATCAGGCCAAAAGTATTTTTTGCAATGAAATTTAAGTATGTTATAGTAGATATACTGTGGAATACATCAACTATAACACAGGAATACTGTGTTCAGTTTTGGGGCCCCCAATACAGAAAAGATGTGGACAAATTGGAGAGTCCAGCAGAGGGCAACGAAAATGGTTAGGAATCTGGGGGACATGACTTATGGGGACAGGTTGAGGGAACTGGGCTTATTTAGTCTGGAGAAGAAAAGACAGAGGGGATTGAATAGCAGCCTTCAACCACCTGGGGTTTGAAAGAGGACGGATCTAGACTGTTTTCAGTGATGACAGAACAAGGAGCAACAGTCTCAAGTTGCAGCCCGGAAAGTTTAGCTTAGATATTAGGAAGAATTTTCTCACTAGGAGGGCAGTAAAACACAGGAACAGGTTACCCAGAGAGATGGTGGAATCTCCATCCTCTGAGGTTTTTAAGACCTGGCTAGACAAAGCTTTGGCTGGGATGATCTAGTTGGGGATGGTCCTGCTTTGAGCCGGGGGGTTGACTAGATGACTACCTGAGGTCCCTTCCGACCCTAATTTTCTAGGATTCTATGTTTGATTTGGGTTTTTTTTTCTGGTTCTAAGATGGCATATCCCCCTCCCAAAAGGAGTACTTCTGATGGCAAAGGTCAGGGGTGGGACTTCCAGTCCCAAAATGGCAATCAGGGGGCAGGGCACCTGTCAAGGGGCGGGGCTACCCTTGTAGCCCTCAACAGATTACCAAAAGGCCCTCCAGCTGAAATAATTGCCCACCCTGAGCTAAGATATTTCTTGACTTTCTCCAAGAGTGGGGTATCAAGGGTGTTGGAAATATCCAGCAAGCCTCTGTGCATACATCTGCACAGAACCCCAATTAAACAAGAGAGATGCTGCCACATCATCTGTTGATAAACTGATGGGCAAGCCACTAGCTAGACTGACTCGAAGAAATGACAGTTTGTGGGATTTTAAAGCAGTAGCTTCAAGTTCTGAGTTAGTTTGTTGTTTTGCCACATTACCTGCGTTAAGTTAAAAGCAAATCTTTTCATGAGAAGTTCCAAACAAGCATAAAGAAAAGAATATATTATTTTATGGAGAATTTCTTCAGACAGTCTGAAAAAGTGATGCTGCTCACAATGCAGAGCTTTAAAATTCCTCAGTGGGGGAGTTGTACAAACTTTCATATACCCCACTAACTACTCAAACTCATTTATCTAAAAAGACATCTTTGCTATATACTATCCCAGGCAATTTGGCATCTTTCTTCCATTGAGTCTAAAAATCAAATCTTTTGAAGGAGAATTTCAAGCATATAGTTTAACTATGCAGTGGGGAAATACCTTACTTACTTTAACATGGCCTTTGTATATTTTCAGCTGCAGGATAATTAGTAGTGCACGTCTCAGATTAAGGAATGCTATGTAAATGAATTTCAGCTGGCTCCCAAAAACAAGTATTAGCCTCAGATTCCATAAGAAGATAGGCTGAGCAGAAGTTCATATGTAGGCAGACAGGGATCAGTGGAAGACAATGCAGTATTCTGACCTCAGAACTACACAGATAGCCTTGGAGAATTCTAAAATGGACTTTAAGAGTGAATCAAAAAACTCCCACCTAAATCCTTGAATGCCCAAGGCCCTGTAGACACCCAATAAATTTAAGTTTTCAGCAGTAAAAGCATGTGCCACTACTACATATACACAAAAAGCTCAGCACCTGCTTCATATTTAACCCTGATGAAGATTTACAAAGCATGTTTTCCTGAGACAAAGTTCATCACAGCCCAAATTTGTCAAGCATGCTCAACAGACACCTACCACATACCAACAATTTCAGCACAGAACGCAGCAGTCCTGCCACTTTTATTTAAGACTATGACCAGAGAACAACAGCCTACAGCCTAGGATGCCCATACAGGAAGTGAGGCAAGATTCTAGGCCCTTATCAGTTTAAGAGGGTTCAAATATATATTTTCTGCCCCTCAGAAGGATGCTCCAGCCATCAAGCTAGAAGCAAAGCTATGACAGAATGGAGAGTATGCCATTCTGTTGAAATTATGGCCAACAGTAGTAAAGAATGCAAGACTCATGGGGCTAAAGAATGCAAGGAGGACTATGCCAAATCTAAAAAGGGCACTCTTATGTGAGGCAGAGATCTGGATTACAGTGCCTGCTCCCAATAATGTTTATTTCATCTAATAACTGTTTAATAAAAAATGCATAGGTAGCTTTGTATGGGGGTTCAGCTACAACAAAACGCGGCAGGGTAACAAAAGTGTCACCAAGCCTAGCCTATAGCTTTGTGGCTAAGGAACTCTCCTGCAAATCGAAAGATAGGTTTGAAACCCCTCTGGCTAAAGAAAGAGAGAGTTGGCTGTTAGGTCTACTTCATGGACAAATACTTACATTTTTAAACTACAGCCAGCTTCTATAACCATTGCCTCTTTTTCAACGCCCATGTTTCAATAAGCGAGCTAGTCGTCCAAATCAACAAGTACGACTAAAGTCCAAGTCCAGTGAATGCCAGTCTTATGTAGGCATTTGTCTCACGACAGATATACCATTCTTTTCAACATTTCCTATTGATTAATTTTAGCATTTTCTAGCTTAGTACATTTCCCTTCCTATCTGCCCAACTTTCTCTGTGCACGGTATAGAAATTTAATATCCAAGTTTGCTGTTAAAGAGTTTTGTTCCAGGAGCTGGGTGTCTAAGAGTTCGGCATGACAATGCTCTGTGTCAACACACTCAAGTCACCATATGGATTGGGACTATTATTCTTACCTGAACTCAAACCTCTGTTGACACAGAGATTCACAATCTACAAAAGTTTTTGGAAAAAAAGCCAAAAACTAGCAGTCTGGTCAAAGTGTATTTCAGATCATGCTGGAGTGAAAAAATAAAGCTATGTGGAATGGGTGTGGTAGAGGGGAAGGACAGGGAAGAAAAGGCCCCTGTTTTATCTGGATCAGCAGGTCTCATCTTTAAACCACAGCAGTTTGTTACACTGGCTTTGACATAAAGGTGCATTTTAAAACTGATTTAGGAGTCACCGATTTAGTTTAAGAGGTTCACATCCGTGCATGGAAAATGGGGGGGAGGAGGGGGGAAATCAAATCAGATCACCAGATCATTAGATGCAGGGGTAGCAGTGGACATAGTCTTCCTGGACTTCCGGAAGGCTTTCCACACTGTCTCTCACCCTGTTCTCATTAAGAAACTGGGGGACTGTGTTGTTGACACCCACACAGTCAACTGGGTCGCCAACTGGCTGGAGGGCC